TTTTTTCTTTTTATCAAACTAACAGTAAATTGACCAGAATGTCTTGTAAACACAACAGATCAATGAAAAAGGAAACAGGAAGCTAAAGTATAAGCAAAAAAGGGATGGGAGGGAAGAAAAAAAGCTACAGCTTGAGGTTTGACTTAGAAGATAATGTATTTAGATGTTTTTTTTTTATTTATTTATCTTAGCTTGGAGTTGGTTAGTTTGTTATTAGTTAGTTTGTTATTAATACATTGGTTTTATCTATGCAAATATATATTTCAGTACTGGACTAGGAAGCTTCAGTTACATTTGTAATGAGCATGCCAGTGGTCTGTTTATTACTTTGAACTAGTTTGTTTGAGTTTGACTTCCTGTCCGTACATACAAGACAAGTCAGCGCTTCAAACAGCCAGCTTCAGATTTCTGAAAACAGTATTGTTCATTCATCGTGTTTAGAAAACAAAAATAAAACAGGATTTAAAAATTAAATTAAGTCCAAAACCTTTAAAGTTTACATCTTTAATTTCTGAAAGAAATCAGATTATTTTTTTTAAGACATTCGCTTACGTATTCCTGAGTGAAGTCGATGAGGTTCTGCAGATCGATGTCGTCTCGGTACGCACGGATGTTGTTGTTGATGAACAAGTTTAGCTGATCTTTGATCCAGTCTTTAAAGACAAAGGCCAACACTCCGGTTGTCAGCTCCAGGAAAAAGATGATTCCCAGAAATACGGAGAACTGAAAAATGTAGAAAATAGGAGACGAAAAACTGAAGTGAATTGTTTTGTTTTTTTTTTTATTTGACAGGAATCCTTCCTCAAAACCGAACGTACAAACTTGAGCAGGAAGGTGTTTTCCCTCAGTGCTCCGATGCATCCTGCAAAGCCCAGGATGAACATGACACCACCGACCACCATGAAGAGCCAGACTGGGTCCAGACCACCCAGGTCAGTGATGGATGAGATGTTGGAGAGAACTCCCTACAGCGGAGAAATTGAGACAGCAGGGGTAAGTCATCGACAAAATGACCTGATCACTGTTAAAAGTGCTTATGTCATCAGGTGTTAATTTAGGTTCTTTGCAAATATGGCCCAATCAAGCAATAATACGTTGAGAGTGAAAAAGCGGCATGTCATTTTTGCAGAGCCTCTAATGCTTATTTTCGATTCATGTTTTGTTTTAAAAATCAAAATTCCACTGTTTAAAGAACTATGATGTTAATT